TGATGTATGCTCGTGATCCCACAGGAAGGCAGAGACAGTGGATGGATCCTTGTGACTCAGTGGCCAGCCCACCTAGCCCACTTGGTGACTTCCAGGCTGGTGATGTCTTAGAAAAAAGGTGGACATTGTCTAAAGAAGAATATCCAAGGTGGTTCCCTGGTCTCCTTTTAAAGTTGACAAAACAGACTTGCTCTCTTTTTAGAATAAAGTATATTATCAACTTTTGTAAACAAATTGAAACCATGTTACCCTAAGAACAGGTTAGCCTCAAACCCAAAGAGATTAGCCTGCCTCTGCCTCCTGAGTGCTGGGATTAAAGACATGCACCACCATGCCCAACCTCTTGTGTAATATTTTTGTGGGTTTTTTTCCTCTTAAATTTGATTCACCCTCTGTCCCTTTCTGCACCCTAAGTTTGAAAGAAAAATGTATCCATTCTTAATATGGCCCTTAGTTTTTCAAACTTTAAAATTTGGCTTATAATTTAAATTCTGTTAAAACCCTAATAAGATCTTATTTGGATAGGCTACATATTTGGATCCACAGTAGCCATTTTTATAGTTGATTAATGAGGATCCCTGTATCCTGAGGTTACAAGCAGATTACGTAAGGGTGTTTCAAAAGCTGGTCAGTTTCAATAGGTTGATGATAATTGGATGTTTAGCCTCCAATTAGGCTGTACATGCAAATAAAACGGCACATTACTTTTTTTGCACCTCTAAAGACAAATCAGTTATATTTGAAAGAAATACTTCCTTGCAGTGGTGGACTACGACATATATATATGTGTGTGTATGTACCAAAAATAAGAAAATTATTTAGTGCAGCTTGGTTTAGCCATCTGATATGGGTGCTGATAGCTGAACTAGGGTCCTTTGGAAAAGCAGCCGGTGCTCTTAACTGCTCTCTGTCTCTGTAGCCCCTTTTGCATCATCAGAAACATTTTACTGTTTGCCCTTGTTATTTATTTGTTTGTTTGTTTGTTCGTTCGTTCGTTTGTTTGTTTATTGTTCTTTGGTTTTTCGAGACAGAGTTTCTCTGTAGCTTTGTAACCTGTCCTGAAACTTGCTCTGTAGACCAGGCTGGCCTCGAACTCTCAGAGGCCTGTCGCTGCCTCCTGGCTGCTGAGATTAAGGTGTGCGCCATCACTGCCCAACCCCCCTTTTATTTTTAATCTCCACAGTTATAGGGTTGTGGCCTGCAGTTTAAGAAGCTAGGCTCTGGCTGGCTGGCTGGTCAGCCATTAAAAGCTAAGCTTACAACCAAAAATATAGGAACCTAAGCTCTAAAAGGATCCACAGGAAGGGTTGTGTGCACCCTTCTTAAATTCTTGAAGCAGTGGTTACTCCTTATTTATTGCCTTAGAAGTTCTTCATCTGAATTTCTTGAAAACTGCTTCAAAAATTTCTTGTTTTGCTTTGAATGTTCCTCTAAAAAACCTAATGTTACCTCCTACTTTTAGCCTGTCTTGAGGTTCTATTTTTTTTTTAATGGATTATTTTAAATCTGGAAAAAGACATTTTTCAGAATATGTTTTAAAGTTGATTATTCCTGGATTGCTTATTTTCTGGGGAGCTTCAGATCATCTTTGTAGTCGTTCACTGTGAGCTTAGTTTTCTTTAGAGTAGCCTTGACTGAGGCCAGCCTAGCTTTCTTCTGTCCTGTCTTGAGACTTCAGGCCGCCCGCCAGGAGCTCTGCTTGATTTGCAGGTTTGTGACAGGTGATGGTGTCAGTGGTTGACAGCAGTGGAGGAGAGAAGAAGTGCTGCTGCTTCCGCCCAGACTGCTTTCTGTCTACTTCTTCCCGCAGGACAGTGCACCTTCTTGCTGCCTTTCTTTTAAAGTGTGGTTTTCCTTACACAGCTTTACTATGGTAAATCCAATGGGTATAATTTATCCATTTAAATGGTATCATTCAAGGGTTTTGCTGTGTTTGCAGAGATGTTCAGTCACTGCCATGGTCACATTAACGTTTTCATTACCTAGAATGACACCTTGTCTCACATTCCTAGTTTTTCCGCATCCTCAACTTTAAGCAACTACTAATCTAATTTTAACCTATGGATTTACCTATTTTGGATATTTTATTTAAATTTCATATAATATATAACAATCTATAACCTCTTTCATAATTTTTTCAGGTTCTTCCATGTTTTATGAATGAATAGTTCATCCCGTTTTGTGACTAAGTGATGTTCCATTACACAGATACACCACATTTTATACCATTCATCCTTTGATGGGCATTTGAATTGTTTCTACTTTTTAACCAACTATTCTAAGAAGTGCTATGAGCATTTGTGTGTATGTTTATAGGTAGTTAGAAGTTTTCATTTCTTTTGGAAATATACTTAGGAGTGGAGTTACTCACCATTTGATAGCTTCATGTTTAGCCACTCCAAACTGACTACCGTTTTTTATTCCCATTAGATGTGCACAAAGATTCTAATTTCTCAAATACTTAAAATTCTTGTTATTGTCTGGCTTACTTTTGAAGGAGCCAGGATCTTGATATGTTGTCCAGGCTGACTTCAAATTCCTGAGACTACAAGTGTTGCTACTGACTTTGGCTTCTTATCTTGCTTTTTATTGTAATCATCTTAGTGAGTGACAAATGGTGTTTCATTGTGGTTAAAACTTGTATTTTCAAGATGGGGTGTGGTGGCGCATGCCTTTAATCCTAGCACTTGGGAGGCAGAGGCGGGACAATCTCTGTGAGTTCGAGGCCAGCCTGATCTGCAAAGCCAGGACAGCCAGAGCTGTACACAACAAAATCCTATCTCAAAAAAACAAAGCAAAACAAAATTGTATTTTTCTGGTGACTAGTGATGATTGGCATATTTTCATGTATTATGTGTATCTTTGGAGAAATGCCTAGTTTGATTTACATCTTTTAAAAATTGGGTATTTTTTTCAACTTCTTTTTTCAGATTAATTTTTTAAAAAATTATTTTGTGTAGAAGAGGGATTATATGCATATGAGTATAGGTGCCTCAGGAAGCCAGAGGCTTTGGGTTCCCAGAGCTAGAGTTACAGGTGGTTATAAACTTCCTGATCCAGGTGCTGGGAATCAAATGTGGGCCCTCTGCAATAGTAGTATTTGCTCTGTACTGTGGAGCTAAGTCCTCAGGTAATCTTTTACAAACTTTCTGGGTTTTATTTTTGATAGAATCAGAGACCGATCCCAGGACCTTGAGGCATGCTAGGTAAGTCCTCTGCCACTGAGTAGAATCCCCAGCTCTGACTACTTTTAGTACTGTCACTAGAGTTCTCCTAGGGTCTCAGTCACCCGCTTGTTACCCTTTTGCCTCCACCTCCCACAGGCCACCACACCTCGCTAAGACTTCTCAAATAAATGATTTATAATTATTGTCAGGTCTTTTGAAACACAATTGCTTTTTAGTTTTGATGCTTTTGTTGTGATATCTAAGAATCCATCATCAGATTTAAAGTTTTGACTACTTAGCCAATTTTTTTCTTTTTAGACATTTTGTTTTTTAGATTTATGTGTTTTGAGTGTTTTACTTGCATGCATGTGCACCATGTGCATGCCTGTGCCTACAGAGGTGAGCCAAGGGCATTAGATCTCCATGGAACCCAACCATGTGGGTGCTAGGAATAGAATTGGTTTTCTGCAAGAGCAGCCAGGCTCTTATCCACTGACCCATCTCTCCAGCCCTTCATTGTCTTGTCTTCTATGAAGATCTTCTTGTGGCTCTTATATTTAGGTGTAGATTTTTGTTTCGTTGGTTGTTTTGTTTTATATTTGGGTTTCCAAGACAGGCACAGTTTGATGAAAATTATTCTGATTATAATTAACTCAATCTTTCATGCAGAGCAAAGCATACATGAATCTCCTTGAGGAACAAAGTAAGCTGAATACAAATCAGACATGATTACAGTAAAACTCTTTGTAAAGTCCATAAAGATGGGGTCTATAGATTGACTGAGAAAAACAAGCTTGCGATAATAAGGGCCTGGAGGGGGGTCAGGTGCCAGAAAAGTCTCTGGGCATGCAGATATTGCAAAGGTCACCAGGCTGGAAGGCATATTGTTGCAGCCTTCTGGGAGGTTAACAGGTATTAGCAATCCTTCCCTCGAAGGATGGACTCTGTGATAACATTTCGGGTTCCCCTGGTGCTCATCTGGGAGCACAAGGCCTCGTTGTCTCCCATAGTACTTAGCACTGTACTTCCTTTTGGGGGAATGATTTCATCAGTGCTTAATCTGTGTCTTTTGCTTCCTTTTTCTTTTGTACTCTCTTTCTGAGAGAGATGCTGCAGATCATGTTGGCTTTGTTTCTGTCCCTTCTTGATATCAGGTTTAGGGTTTTATTGTGTTGACTTTTTTGAACAGCTGTATGACCATCATTAATTTTCCAAAATTGAAAGTTCCACAATTGATGAATAAATGACTTTAGTTTGCATAAATAGTTAAGCTACTTGTGTTGCTTTAACTGGTCTCATTTTTAAGATAGCTATTTATAGGCCAGGTAGTGATAATGCACACCTTTAATCCCAGGCAGATTTCTGTGAGTTTGATGCCAGCCAGGTTTACAGAGTGAAACCCGGTCAGCTATGGCAACATAGAGAAACCCTGTCTCAAAAAAAGAAAAGAAAAAGCTATTTATAATGTCATACCCAGTACTTGCTGCTGAACCTCAGCTTCGTGTGTCTTGACTGCTGAATACTCCTACTTGTGTGACCCATAGCTCGGTTAATCCTGATTCCTTTCCAGGTCTTCTCATATCATCAGGTGACTGTCACCTCACCTGTTACCCCACTTCCACTCCAGTTCAGTATACATTACTGGATGTAACTGAAACCCTTCTCGTTTTCTCCATTCTGACTGCTATCATTAGAGCCAAGTGACCTGTGCCTGCATCGTGGCCAACTTCTGGCCTTGCCTGCTTCAGTCTGTACTCTGCAGTGTAGCCAGAGTGATTTGGAAATACATCTGATGTCATACCTGCTTAAAATAATCTGTCTCATTCATTTCAGAAAATGGAATTATCAAGACAGATAAAGTATTTGAAGTGATGCTGGCTACAGACCGCTCCCACTATGCAAAATCTAACCCTTATATGGATTCTCCACAATCAATAGGTAAGCTTTATATTTCTGAAAAATTGTGTTTTCCATGAGTTACTCCGTAATTTTTTTCTCAAGACAGGATTTCTCTGTGTATCTCTGGCTGTCCTGGAACTCACTCTGTAGACCAAGCTGGCCTCAAACTCTCAGAGATCCGCCTGCCTCTGCCTCCCGAGTGCTGGGATTAAAGGTGTGTGTAGTGTACAGATGTGAATTATAGCCCCACTGATTGAAATTTTGTTGCTCAATTTTAATAATTTCAAAATATCCTTTGTAACAAAATGCATCTTTTTCTATATCTTTAAAAATATATTATGTGAGTCAGGAAGTTGGGGGATTTTTTTTTTTAAGGAAAAACAAAACTTTAATGAAAACCTAAGTTTTAGCTGAGTGCCAAGTTTTATTGAGGATCCTTAATTTTGAATTTGCATATTAGCATTGATTTTTGAAATCACTATTTAAAGGGAATAAGTAAGTCATTATTGACTTTTCTGTTTCTCTGGGCCCAATGCTTTGCCTTTCCTTTGTCTTTAGAAAGTTCTGTATTTAACTCCTTGTCCTGAAGCAGGTTTTGCTGAGCTGCTGAGCCTTGGCAGTGGGCGCCTTTGAGGCTTAGAAGTGCCTCAGGATTCTGTGGGCCAGCTGCCATGTCTTCTTTTGAAGCACTGTGACAGTCAGCAAGAAGATCCTGGGGAGCTTCTGAACCCCAAGGCACCTGCTACCACCGCTCAGTGAAAACTGCTTCAGAGGCAGAAGCAGGTAAATAAATCTTGAGTATGTGACACCAAAAGGAAAGAAAACATGGGCTAAAAAACCAGCACAAGACAGTAATTTAACCATGGGCAGCAACAGAGGAGCAAATCTCTTCAACTGGTTATCTGACTTTTTAAAGTGTTGTCTGAAGTGTAAAAACTAGTATTCTGCTAAGATTTTGCATACTTACTATACTTATGAAATCTGAAGAGAATGAGTGAAAAGTAATTTACCAGTTCTCAGTGTGTTGAAAGCCTTCCTGGTACAAGCCTGTAATCCCAGATACTTGGGAGGCTAAGGCAGGAAAAGGCTGAGCTCAAGGCCTGCCTAGGCTTATTCGGAGATCCTCTCGAAAAGGGAGGGAGCAAAGGACCCAAGCTGGCATGGTTGGGACATGCTTGTAAACTGGACACTTGGGGAGTGAAGGTAGGAGGGTCAGGTGTCCAGGCCGGTCCAGACTAGCCATGGCTGTGTGAGACCTTGTCTCAGACAACAACAGTGGTGCTGGTGGCCAACCACGCAGATGGCATCTTTAGCAGTAGAGGAGTTGGTTTACTACATGAGCGCAATAGCCTTTGATATGATTGTATTTTATAACTTCTACCTTACATCAGTTTTCTAACAAATTTTGCTTTAAGATTATAAAAACTGGGGAAAAATGTGAAAAACAATGTTTGGCTATTAGAAAAGGAGCTGTGTGCATTATATGGTGTGTTTTTGTAGCTGAGTGTGTCAACATTCTCTTCTTGTTTTGTAGGCTTCCAAGCTACCATTAGCGCCCCTCACATGGTGAGTTAACCCTACACTTGACCATGCACAGGCACATTTACTGGAATGACCATTTCTTTTCTTTCGTTTTGAGACAGTGTCTTACTGTATAGATCAGGCCGGCCCCAAACTCACAGAGTTAGTTGTCTCTGCTTCTAACTCCCAAGTGCTGGGATTAAAGGTGTGCACTAACATGCTGGGCCAAACAGCTTATTTTTTACTTGGTATTTAGAAGAACTCTCCTTGTTAGAAGCTGTCATCATTAAAGGTTTCAGTGTCTGTTGTTAGCACCTGTGACAGAGAAATTGAACCTAGCAAAAAGCTAAGTAAAGGAGAGAGTGTTGTCTGTAATTCAGAGGCTTATCCTGTGTGATTCTTCCTGGGATGGTGTGAACTGATGTCTATCCACTGTAGCTGGGCACTTACAGTAGACCAGGAGACAGTTCCAGCCAGCCAACTTGGTAAGCCAATGAGCTTATTGGGGTAACAGAGACTTAGAGGCGCTTGGTGACTCACAGGCCACTGTGTCACTGCAAGAGCCACTCCAGCATGGGTCATAATGTCCAAAAGCCACAGGTAGGAACCCCAAATTGTTAACAGATCATCTGACCCTGAGCAGAGGGAAGCAGCCCACTGTCCATCTGAGCTCCCAGAGCTCCCAGAGCTTCCTCTCCTTCAGTGGGAGTGCTCTGACTCCGGAAGTAGCTACAGCACCATACTCTGGGGATCTTCAGCTTTCACAGTTGGTTTGGAAAGCCATTAGGGAGTAGTGATGGACAGCAGGTGTAAAGATGTGACTTTGGAAAGACCTGTTTAAGGTCTGGTTTTTTGATCGACTAGAAATTTTCTTGTTTGTAAGTATTAGTTTTAAGTATTAGTTTCTTGAATTGGTACTGCGTTGGATTTTGGTGAAGAAAATAGTAGCTTTCTGATTCTTTTAAAGTATTTGGGTAGGAAAAGCTCATGTGTAAGCTTACTTCTAAATTCTGTTACCATATATGTATTTATAATATACTGAAAATACTAGAAAAAAATACTTACAAAAATAGAATATAAAGCATTACAAAAAATATAGAAGCCAAATAAGCAGAAATTCATGGTATATCTTTTAAAAAGATGTTTTTATTACATTATTTATTTCTTTTTTGTTTTGTTTTGTTTTGTTTTTTTTCAAGACAAGGTTTCTCTGTAGTTTTGGTGCCTGTCCTGTAACTAGCTCTTGTAGACCAGGCTGGCTTCGAACTCAGAGATCCACCTGTCTCTGCCTCCCAAGTGTTGGGATTAAAGGGGTGTGCCCCACCACTGCCCCACTCACATTTTTTATTCCTTTAGGGTGTGTGGAAGGGCATATGGAGGGTCAAGAACAACTTTTATAGATCTTATCTCACCTTTTACCATGTAGGTCTTGGAGTTTGAGTTCAGGTTGTCAGGCTTGGCATCAAGCATTTTTATCTGCTGAGCCATCTTAGCTGCGCTAAATATGTCTTGTAATTCAAAAACATAGGGCTTTTAGAGTTGGATATGGTAGTGCACACCCTTGGGAGGTTGAGGCAGGAGAATTGTGAGTTTGGTGCCAGCCTTTACTACATAGTGACAGGTATCTTAGGGTTTCTATTGTGGAGACACCGTGACCATGGCACCTCTTATAAAGAAAACATTTAAATGGGGTTGGCTCCCTTACAGTTCAGAGGTTCAGTCCATTATCAACATGGCAGGGAGCATGGCAGCTGGAAGTATGGAGGTGTGCAGGCAGACATAGTAGTGGAGAAGGTGCTGAGAATTCTTACATCTTGACAGGTAGGCGATAGAAAGTGGTCTGTCTCACTGGGTATGGCTTGAGCATATATGAGACCACCGCAAAGCCCTCCTCCACAGTGACATACTTCCTCCGAGACCACATGTTCTCCAGCCAATCCGCCCCTCCTAATAGTGCCACTCCCTTTGGGTTCCATTTTCTTTCAAACCATCATACAAGGTCATCTTGAGCTAGGTAGTAGGACTCTTAACTCAAAAAGGGGGATGGGGTTGTAGAGAAAAATGCTAGAAACTAAGCTAAAATGAGAAAAGCTAAGAAATACTTATAATATGTATGACAAAATAGAAAAATTCAATAAGTATTCATAAAAATACATGTTTTTATGAGCATCTTTGAAATTAGTAGAAGAAAAGTCCCAAAGAAAAATAAAGGACAAGATTGATAGTTTTTTGAGAAAGAAATGCAGTATTATTGACTAATAAATAAAAGTTATTTCATGGAAATTAGTATATTTCAAATTAATATTAGTAAAGGGCCATTTTTCATCAGTCAGGTTGCTAGAGATCAAAATTGTTAATACTTTACATTGGAAAGAGGAAACTGGTAGTTATATTTATGTGTGTGTGTGTGTGTGTGTGTGTGTGTATTGCAACAGTAAAATTGTGTTTGGAAGGCCATATGGCCACACACACACACCTTAGTTACTTTTTAAAAACTATTTTTATTAAAAAAAAAAAGAAAGAAAGAAAGAAAAGAAAAGAAAAAAAAAGCCTAGTGGTGGCACCTGTCTTTAATTCAAGCACTCAGGAGGCAGAGGCAGGTGGATCTCTGTGAGTTTGAGGCTAGCCTAGTCTACAGAGCTAGTTCCAGGTCAGGCTCCAAAGCTATACAGAGAAACCCTGTTTTATGGCTGGGAGTGGAGTGGGGGGGGGGGAATTTAACATAACATACAGATAATTCTTTTTTTTTTTCTTTTCTTTTTGTTGTTTTTTTGAGGCAGGGTTTCTCTGTGTAACAATCTTGGCTGTCCTGTAATTTGCTTTGTAGACCAGGCTGGCCTTGAACTCACAGAGATCCTTCTGCCTCTGCCTCCAAAATGCTGGGATTAAAGGTATTTGCCCCTACCGAGGGGCCAGATAATTCTAAGATTTTTGGAGTGGCAGGAGCCATGTGACTTAAGGGAACAAGGCCTGACAATAGCACGAACAAGATCTGCTTGTGGCAAGGCCCTGGAGAGACCCTGACCCATTTGGCAAAGCCTGTGGATAGTTGACTGCGTAGTTCTGGGCCTGACCCCGGGGCACACGTGCTCCTGCTCTCCTTGCTTTCATTATGCTGGCCACACTGCTGTGACCTTTAGTTTCACTTTCTCAGGGTAAAATAGCTATTACAGCGGGAAAACTCCCCCTGGTGACTCCTCTGAGTGAGCCAGAGATGTTAAAAATATACAGTGGACCTAATTCAGCCCCTAAAGCCTTTAATGTTTCAGGTGTGACCATGAGTTCAGACTTAAGAACAGGATGTTGCCTTTCCAATGCCCCCTGTAACTAGCCTGGAAGAGTCACAGTAGTTCATAAAATTTAATATTACAAATTTGCATAACTTGTGGAGAGAATGAGTTTAACCACAAGAGTTTAGGAGAAATGCTAATAAATAGATGGTATCAGGAGTTAATGGGAAGAGTCTAGAGATGGATTGAAGCAGAATCATAGAAGCCCACAGTTGTTTGATAGCTGTGCCAATATCCTAAGAAGTTGAGAGAAGGGCATGAGAACAAGAGATAAATGGTGCCAACCAATAAGAGTAAGTTTCTGAGTTATGTTGCTTATAGGATAAAAGGAAAAACCCGGTATATCTCCAGAGGAGAGGGAATGGTACAGAATGTAGAATGAATTGATCCAGCTTTGGCTGGTGAGTTGATTGTAGGAACCCAGATCCTACCAGATGTAAATGTTAACTAATAAAGACCAAACTGTCTCTCACCCTGCATGATGCTGTAACTGCAAATGCTGCCAACTGAGCATATTGTTCTACTGTAGGTTGCTGAGTTAGGAAACTTCCTTTGTAGCTTGCAACACTGCTTATGCTTCTAACATTAGAGCTATAGATCAAATAGGTAGTAGTTACCAGTGGGAAAGATGGAAGGGGAAAGAAGTAAAGGAACAAATTAGTAATTATTATAACCATTTTTAGAAACTTACAGGAACAAATCTGATTGTAAAACTGTTTATGCAGACCATTAAAAATATGTAAATAAAAATGATCCAGGCGATTCATGGATCATCCAGGTTGACTTCTGCCTCCTGAGTGCTAGGAGATTAAAGGTGTGCAACACCACACCCAGAACTTTATATGACTTATTGTTATTATTACAGCTATATTTAGTAACTTTATTACATTTTTTGTTATAAAAGATTGAAGCTACCTTAAATCTCTTCAATATTGATATTTGTTATAATGCATTCATACCTGAATATAGTTTAGTAGTAGAAACTTCAGTAGAAAGTTGCCAACTACTTACATGAGGTAATGTATGGGCTTCAAGAAGAAGTGAACATTTGGTTAATTTTCTTTTGGCAATTACTTACATGAGGTGATGTATGGGCTTCAAGAAGAAGTGAACATTTGGTTAATTTTCTTTTGGCAGCATGCATATGCACTAGAACTTCTGTTTGACCAGTTACATGAAGGTGCTAAAGCCCTTGATGTAGGATCTGGAAGCGGAATCCTCACTGCATGTTTTGCACGGATGGTAAGAACTTTAATCTCCCTCGTGAGCCTAATAGAAATATATTACATGATTAGCTATCGTTTCTTTTTACTAGTAGTTTTGATCTTTGTTTTGTTATATTAATTTGGTAATTTAAACCAGGTAGAGGCGTGCACGCACCCAGAAGGCAGGCGGATTTCTGAGTTCAGGCCAGCCTGAACTACCAAGCAAGTTAAAAAAAAAACAGAAAAACAAAAAAAAACAAAAAAAAAAAAAAAAAAAAAAAAAAAAAAAAAAAAAAATTGGATTATAGTTGCAAGTGATGGAACACTTAAACCCAAAACTGTAGAACTCAAAGAGAATTTATTTAACTTGTCTATTGGAAAAGCCTAGGGGCTTCCCTGGGTTCTTATGTAGCTGGATTTAGAAAGCCAGACTTAGTTGGGCAGTGTAGCACGAATTCTAGTTGATCTTAATAATAAAAACCCGGAGTCAGATATAGGGGTTAATGCTGAAGATCAGAGAAGCAGAGAGGCGGGTCACTAGAGAGTTCTTTTACCTTTACCAATGCTCAGACTGAAGGGGTGATCCTGTTCTCAGACTGTATGTCCAGACGCATCTGTCCCCACCAAACCTCAGACTGCCTGAGCTCCTGTCTCCTCCCACCTTATATTCCTTTCTCCACCTTCCTAGTGCTGTGATTAAAGGCATATGATCCCAAGTGCTGGGATCACCTTTGTGTGAACTTCTCATTTAGACAGATTCAGTCTTGTGTAGTCCAGGGTGACCCCACGTGACCCCAACATGGCAGCCCAGTTCTGCTGAGTTCTCATCTGACAGAAGAGAATGAAGCTGGCCTGGTTTTAGGCTGCCTTACATGTTTCCTAAGAGCTTTTCCTTAGAAAAAGGTGAGGTGCTGGCTTGCTTCCTGTACCTCAGTGTTTAGCAAAGATGCTTATCTGATGAAGCTGTCTAGAGTGTAAGCAGGGCTTCACCACAGCACTTGAGTGACCATTTGTGCTCAGAGTCCTGGCAGATTGGTTATGAGGAGCTCTGTGTCCAGAGAGGTCCTGGTCTATGGAACGTGAGATGTGTGCTCTAGATGTGCAGTAGATCCTGCAGTGTAACTCTATAGAGATAAGAGTTTTGTCTAAATTGTTTTCTTGCCATTTGTTAAATATTTAAGATTAGTGTCCAGCACACAGTGAGGGCCATGATCTTTTCTAGTGTTTTATTGGTTTTGTAGAGTTCAAGTCCTCAGAACTGGGTATCAGGAATTCTTTTATAAAAAGCTGAAAATAGCGTTTAATTAGCAAATCATTGTCTAGTGTTGATATGTTACTGGTTTCAAAGGAATATTCACTTAAAAATATCATTAGGGGACCAATAAGATGACTAATCGGGTAAAGGCACTTGCTGCCAGTCCTGACAGCCTGAGTTCATTCCTGGAAGCCACATGGTAGGAGGAGAGAACAGTCTCCCACATGTGCCATGGCACATGCCTCCTACACATAAAATAAGCAAATAAATGTAGTAAAAAAGTTTCTTAGTTATCTTTTAAAAAGATACTGTTTTTCAAGCATTTACCTGTAGTTATCAGTGTTCTGTGTGTTTATCATGTGCTCTTTTCTTTCTCATTTATATGAGGTATAGACCCCATTTTTTCTTAGTTTATAGTTGAGGAACCTGATTTAGAGAATGACGGGTCTGCATGCCTAGTGTCAGGCAACTGTGAGTGATGAAATTCAGGTAGGACCCAGGAGTTTGTTCAGGGCCTTTATTCTGTTATTCTTTATTTTGTAATCAGTGTTGATACTTAAGTTGTTTTTATATATTTATGAATTTTCTTTTTTGAGATGGGGTCTCACTGTGTGGTCCTGGCTGCCCTGGACTTGCTGTGTAGACCACACTGCCTTCTGAGTGCTGGGATTAAAGGTGTGCACCACCACTGCCCAGGAAAAATATATTAGTTTTTTTTAAGATGGATCTCATCATATAATTGTGACCGGAACTCACTGTGTAGAACAGGCTGGTCTTGAACTCACTAATCCACCTGCCTCCGCTTCCTAAGTATAAGAACTAAAGGCATTTGCCACCCATAATACCTGAATGAATCCTGGATTTAAAAATTAGAAATCTAGACTGGACAGTGGTGGCACATGCCTTTAATTCCAGCACTCAAGAGGTAGAGCCAGGTCAGTCTCTGAATTAGATGCAGTGTGGTCTATTTAGCAAGTTCCAGGGCAGCCAGGACTACACAGTGAGACCGAGACCCTGTCTCAAGAAAAAAACAAAACAAAAACCCCCCCAAAAAACAAAAAAACAGGTGGTGGTGCATGCCTTTAATCTCAGTACTCAAGGAGGCAAAGGCAGGTGGATCGTTCCAGGTCAGTCAGGACTGTTACACAGAGAAACCCCGTCTCAAACAATCAAAAGAAAAAAATTATAAATATAAAAGGAATGCAGATTTCTTAGTAAGGTTTTGTAATTTATTTTAACTTTATAATTGCTTAAATAAAATTATTCAAAAAGTTGAAAAAGTTGTATATGGTAATTGCGATAAACTGAGATTTTAGATTAATGACTTAAAACTTTTTTATTTCTCATTTCAGAATATGATTTTAATTAAGGAAACATTTTAAAGACACTCCAGAAAAGCAAATTTACCAATGCGAACTCTTGAACTACTTTTTGTTTTCCAGGTTGGACAAAGTGGAAAAGTCATAGGAATTGATCACATTAAAGAACTAGTAGATGACTCAATAAACAACGTCAAAAAGGACGACCCAATGCTTCTGTCTTCAGGACGAGTACGGCTGGTTGGTGAGTACAGGAAACGTAATGTTTCTTTTTTTAAGTGGATTTTCAGTATCCTTCATCTTCATTGAAACAGGTAGGATAAAAACAGGGTTTTTTTGTTTTTGGTTTTTTTTTGGTTTTTTTTTTTTTCGTTGTTGTTGTTCATTTTAATGAACACACAGTGTTGCATTGCTTATGATCTCAGCTTGGTGTTTTCCTGTCATCATTGCGGTTGAGTTTGTTTTCATGTTTGCCCATTTGGATTTCCCTCTTGTCAGGTGCCTGTCCAGATATCTGGTTGCATTATTATCTTTGAGATGGGTGTTCTAGCAATTAGTCTTGTTACTTTACATACATTTCTCCCCCTTGGTGGTATGCATTTTCATTTTATTGCCACCTTACTTTTATTCATTCATTCGTTTGTTTATTTTGCACTGCTCTTGATCAAACCCATGGCCTTCCACATGCAGGGTAGTTGCTGTACCGTAGAGGTATATGCCCAGCCCTTATGAGGCTGAATTAAGAAGTTCTTAATTTTAGTGTAGTTAGGCTAACTGTTCTTCCCCCAGTGCCTTCTGTGTCTTAAGGATATATGAAGTCATGAAAGTCTCTTCCCCGACTCCTCTGCTAGAATTCTTCACACCAAGTGTGACCTGCACAGATTTTCAAAGTGTAACTTCTCTTTCAGTGGGTGATGGAAGAATGGGATATGCTGAAGAAGCTCCTTACGATGCTATTCATGTAGGAGCTGCTGCCCCAGTTGTGCCCCAGGCAGTAAGTTGGGCTTTTTTTTGTATTTGTGTGCTTTAGTCCTAAAACTTAAAATATTTATATAGCAATGTAGCGATGAGTTCCAGATGAAGTACAGAATATACTTAGACGTTCATACATTCTAGTTAATACTAAATGCTAATAGTTTATTAGATAGAAAAGAAAATGTCTGTGTAAGAGAATTTTGTAGAGTAGTCAAGGGGGCACTGATGATGGAACTTGAACTGGGTCAGAGTTATTGGAGCCTCCAGCTCAGAACTCAGGCTGTCTTCCTACAGTCTTAGTTTAATGCGGTTTAGTGATGGTGGTTTGACTTGGGCACAGGAGGAGCCTGTATATTAAGAGCTCAGTCTTTATGTAGATTTGAAATATAAATGTGATGCTAAGAAGATGTAGATGAAAGGACTGACTTTGGGAGCAAACCTGGATCGGGAGGAAGACATCTCCTATTTTTCATTATGACTGTTAGAACTCAGGGTAATAAGTCAAGGGCAACACAGTAATCAAGTGTTCCTTAAGAAAATTAAAATGGAAAGTGACCAGATTTTAACTGAAAGAAACCTTCTCTGGGGCAGTACTATCCTATCCAAAGTCAGGTTTCTTTCTTGCTTTTTTTTGAATAATATAAGGTTGTATTATTCAAAGGGTAGAATATGATTTAACCATTTTTAGACCGGAAGGGTAGTTTGGTTCTGCATTCATAGGATTACCCTCATCATATCAATGAAGTAGCCCAGCCCTACTTTCCCACTCGGCTGGTGCCAGGACTCCTAAATGCAGTCATGGCATTAGGATTCCCTTACCATTGTCTCAGTGATGCCCTAGATTCCACGGTGATAGGATAGCAGTTCCTTGTTAATTTTCTGTACTTTTCCCTTCTCCGTCGCCCCTTCCACAAAGATCTGGAACACACTGCACTGGCATTAGAATTCTCTGTTGCCGTTGGTTCTGCCCAAACATACTGAGCTTTTTAGTTATAGCAGATGTTGTGTCTGGTGCTGTGAGGACAAGGTGAATACACAGCATAGTCCATCATCAGATAACTTGTACCTTAGGAGGGGGGGACGAGAGGTAAATGGCTAAGTGGGGAGCACGTTACTATGTTTTCAGCCAACAGGGAATGAAAAATATGTTTTTGGATGAGGGGAGGTCCAGACAGTTGAAAGAGCAACATTTACGTTTGCTGTCACTGAATACTGTGTCAAGTCCATACAGTGGCCCTCAGTTATACTAGTCACCTAGAGGTGGTTCAAATGAGGCTGGGTGTGCAGTGTGTTATATATGCAAGTACTGTGCCACTTGTGAGGGACTTGAGCCACTATGGGTTACGTTATGCTTGAAGGATCCTGGAATCAACCCCTGATTGATGGTTAAATCAAGGACACTAAGAAGTGACTACATGAAGTGTATTTCTGCTTTTGCCCATGGACATTGAACATTGCTTACGGTGCTGTCAGGTGACTTTTTCACATCTGTAATTTGGTGTGTTTGTGGGCCTTTTCTTTTTTCTCCTAGTTAATAGACCAGTTAAAGCCTGGTGGAAGATTGATATTGCCAGTTGGTCCTGCAGGAGGAAACCAAATGTTGGAGCAATATGACAAGCTACAAGATGGCAGTGTCAAAATGAAGCCTCTGATGGGGGTGATATACGTGCCTTTAACAGATAAAGAAAAGCAGTGGTCCAGGTGGAAGTGATTTTCTCTTCTGCTCTTTCTTCTTCCACACATTCAAGGTGAAAGGGTGTGGACTTTAAGACATTAGCCTGCAAGAGCTGTGTTTGGTGGCTTCCTTCATGCTGCTCCATTAAAGCATCAGAAACTCCTCCCATGAGCCGTGTGACAAATGTGGCCTGGTCTGTTCTTCTTTCAGATTGACACATTCCTTTAGAAGAGGGAGGGTGACAAGCCACTTAGGAGGCAGACACAGGCAGATCTCTTTGAGTTCAAAGCCAGCCTGGTCTAGAGTGATTCTAGGACAGCTAGGACTACACAGAGAAACCCTGTCTTAGAAAAAAAGGGAAAGACACTATTTTCCTGAATATTTCTAAGTCATGTTTGTAGCTGCTATAATAGGTATGGAAATAAATGTTTTGATCTAGAAAAGAGGCCACCATTTCTTGCCTTGTTCATTCCTTCTAATACCACTGGGACAAAGAGAAAGAAAGATTTGTAAAGGGGAAAAATGTTTGACATTTAAAAAAAGATCAGTCCTGGAGAAGATGGTCTAGCTCTGGGTCAGTTTCTGGGTGTGCAGCATGGTTTTAGAGCCATTGTAAGGAGTAAATGTGTCATCATACTTTAGATTAGGCCGGCCAGTTTTGAGCTCTTCTAGCTAAGTTTGGGGAGGAGAGGGATTCCAAGGCTGTCGAGTGAGTTCCCAGGTCTCCCAACCTTCCTGGAGGACATGCACACAGTACTGTTCTCACAGCCCTCTTCTCATGCTGCATCGCATGGCTCATTCGAAAGCTGCTGCCTGCTTGTGCATCACAGCATCAGCTGGATGTTCCCTTTGAAGCTGACACCACTTCTCCCCGGAGAGAAGTGACAGCGGCATACTGGAGTGTCTGGCTCGGTGCTTAAAGCCGGTGTCCAAATCAGGGTGGACTGACGGTATCTTTTCTTGTTGACAAGCTGCTTCTTTTAAGAGGGACTTTTTGGTTTTGTTTTGTTTTGTATTTTAAATAAAAAAAATAATGTAAGTACAACAGAACTCTTAATTTTGCTCTCTATAAAGAAGGCAGGTACTTTTAATGACTTTAAAATTTTTCTTTGTGCATGGTGCATGCATGTGTGCCACATGGGTATGGAGCTCAGAGAACAACTTGGAGAAGTCCACTCTCCCCTCCTATGTGGGGGCCAGGCATTGAGCTCTGTCAGGGGAATGGTAATGGTTGGTGCATGCTTTTAATCCTAGCACTCAGGAGACAGAGACAAGTGGATCTCTGTGAGTTTGAGGCCAACCTGGTCTACAGAGAGAGTTCCAGGACAGGCTCCAAAACTACAGAGAAACCCTGTCTCGAAAAACAAAACGAACAAACAAACAAAAATTATTATGTACAGTTTGCCCTGTATGTATGTTTGCACACCAGAAGAGGGCACCAGATCTCACTGTAGATGGTTGTGAGCCACCAATGATTGCTAGGAATTGAACTCAGGACCTCTGCAAGAAGAGCAAGTGCTCTTAGCACTGAGCCATCTCTCCAATCCTCATTTGTTCTTGAATGACAATATACATGATTTAGTATTACCAACACGGAACTATAAAAACTTAATACAACAGACTTACATGGTTGCAACGCACTGACGACATTTAACATATATAGCCATTTTAATGAGCAAATATGGGAATGCTACCTTTTATTGTAAATGATCTGTGCATGTAAGTCATATAAGCAGAATTTTGAACAGTTGGGAAATTTTAGTAGCTAGAAAGTTGAATGGATTTGAGAAAATTATCATGTGTGGAAGTTGTCTGTGTTTTCACAGCAAATGTTAGCTTTCCTTAGTACCTTAAGATTTAAAATTCCAATCTATGAGCCTAATTTCTTTTTGTTTATTGGGAAAATGTGAAGAAACTCCAGATGTGCCCCAGTAGTAGATTACTTGCCTAGCATGCATAAAGCCTTAAGTTTGATCCCCAGTACCGCCCCCCACCCCAAGAGAAAATGCAATGTAGAGAATATTTGGAGATGTGTTAGGTGTTCTTGACTGGCATTAAGACTTAGTTACTAATTATTTAATGTCTTGCTACAAGTAAATACAAGTTTTATAATTTAGTATCCTTATTCATGCTTTAAAAGACACGGGTGTTCAGACTGTGTGACTAGAGCAAGTGACTCCTGTAGACTGATAATCTTAACATTTGCATTAACTCTGGTAAAGATTGTTCTATGCTAATTATAATAGTGTGGTTAAAGGACTGTATTAGGAGGGGGTAGAACTGATAATTATTGTGTAAAAGATAATCCAGGGGCTGGGGAGGTGGCATGGCTTATAAAGTGCTTACTGTGCAAGAATAAGAGCCTGAGTTCAGATCCCTGGCACCATGTAACAGCTGGCTGTGGTGGCATGTGTCTGTAACTCCAGTACTTAGTGAGTAGGGGAAGGGAGGAGTGGGGGTCCTGTGAGCTTACTGGTTGGCCAACCTTGATGCTCTGGATTCATAAGTAGATCCCATATCAAAAACTAAAGTGGGGAGTGAGTGAGGGAGACACCAGAGATCAACCCCTGGCCTCTGTACACTACACACACACTCTCACATATGCTCCAGTAATGTAACATAAAAGGGGCTTATTAGAGGAAGCATTTTTTTCTTGTACCATTTATAAAATACAACTTAAAAGGCACATTATTTGGTAAGCCTTAAACTCAGCACCTCTTTGGGACATGAAAGGTCTCCCTATAATTATGTCTCTTCCATATCCACAGCTTTTATAAAGCATTCGTCTTTGGTGTTGCTGAGACAGGGTGGTGGAGGTGTGCAGAGCTGAGCTTCTGCCATCGCTGCCCATCGCCAGTCACCATCCCTGTCTGCGGCTCACACTTCAGCTCTACAGATATGTATGTCTTATTCTCCCAGTCATTTGAGAATTAATTGCAATACCATACTTCTTCATCCCTGAAATACAGAGTGTTTAGTGATGCTTTTGTCACTTGGTAGCTTCAGATGAGGCTTCCGGACTTTGTGATGCTTCATTTTTCCACACTGAATGGTTTCATTGAGGTAGAATTTATATGCCATCCACTTTCCTTTAGACTGCATTTTTACTCCTTCCTTCCTCTCACTGGCAGTTGCTGGCCCAGTGCTGCAATGGCTGAGCGAATGGTTTCTTTAAGGCTGCCTTAAATGAGATCAGCTGACAGGTATAGGACACCTGCAAACGGGCTTTTCTCTAGAGTTCAGGCTGCAAGTGCTATCAGACTTTCCAAGCAAGACTCTTTATCCAGTTTTGTGAATAGAATTCTTTTTCTGTTTTGGTTTGTTTTTTCGAGAAATAGTTTCTCTGTGTAGCTTTGGTGCCGGTTCGTAGACCAGGCTGGCCTTGAACTCAGAGATCCACTTGCCCCTGCCCTCCAGTGCTGGGATTAAAGGCATGTGCCACTACCGCCCAGTGTGAATAGAACTCTTAAAAAAATAATTTGAACTCTTAAGTGTTTAAGCTGTCATCTTAGGAGATTAGCAAGAAGTCATAATTTTTCTGACTTTTTTGCCTCAAAGAAAGAAGTTTAACTTTAGGTCTAAAATCAAAGTTTGGGTTTTGTGGTTTCCTGCTGTGTTATGGAGTAGCATGAAAGATGCTCGGGGTGACTGGTGTTTGGTTTTGCTTTGGCTTGGAGCTATTTGTGCTTTCATTTCTCTTGTTGCATTGCTTGGAATCTGCATATTTTACTGACTTGAGTGTTGTGTCTAAATTGTTAGAGTGCCAAATCACAGCATGTGACTCCTAATTACATTTTTCTCTTTTCTCCCCAGAGATGAACTATAAAAGCAACATGAGCTTGACCAGTCTATAACATTGCAGTGGATTGCTCATCTCGGTCCTTACAGCATTTGAAAACCAACAGCATCACAGCTTGTTTTGGACTTTGTTACACTCTTATTTTCAGCATGAAAATGTGTGGTTTTGTAGGATTTCCTAATTCAAAGAGGTGCAGAGCCAAACTGGTAGAGGAGGGCTGCAAAGTATAACTTTGTGTGTTGTTTTAACATGCCCACATTTTATTTTAAAAATATTAAAAGAAAGGGTTCTCCACATGGAAAACCTAGTTTATTAATTAGTTTTGAAGAATGGCTTTGCTTTTCTTGAACACTTAATTCTGTTCCAATATTAATTTATCAGACTTCTTTTGTGCATCAGATAACACCACCATTCACAAGTTTAGGTTTCTTGGTAGCTGATGTCTGTTAGATGCTACTAAGAAAATAGAGATGAGCTTTCTTTTTAAAGCTTTCGACGTGGTGTCATAGGATAGCATGTTGTAGATACAATCAGCTGCTGTTACCTTAAAACTAGTTGTTTGTAAATACTGAAACCTCAGACGACGGCAGGTGGTGTCCTGTAAACACTAGCTGTTCAGATTGGACATCTCTGATGTAATTTTCCTCTAAAAATGATAGGAGGTTGTAGCTCAATATTGTTTTCTGTTTCTAGTTTGCTGCTGATACTGTATCTGCGCCTAACATGCTGTGTAAGCTGTCTGCACAGTTTATACAGCGCTGCTTTGCCAAATAAAATTAAAAGCAAAAGAAGCATTGGTGGCGTTTGACTCTAGAAGAACAGAGGTCTGCTAGGTCCAGATACTGCCCACAGTCACGGGGGAAAGTGTCTTCTGCTGCTGCTGCAGTCTGTGAACTCCTAGGAGGTAAATATGTATAGCATTAGTCCACAGTACATGGCTGCCTTCCTTCAGGACAGAGACTGTGCGCTCATTGTTTGTCACTGCCTTCCCAGCCCAGGGCTTGCTATTTAGTAGCTCTGTAGTAAATGTCCAATGAGTGAGTGGCTGAAGTTAGTATCGGGGAAGAATGTGGTTGAGAATAAACTTACCAAAATCTATAAGTAGACTCATTCATTTAATAACTGTAAAGTGTGTGAAGGCAATACATTTTGAGGATCTTATTTATGTTTTCTAAGACTTTAGTTTTTGTGAAGTTTCTAGAACTGAAGGGAAGATTATCAGCTCCCAATAAGTGGGGCTAGCTTCCCCAGCAGAGCCTTCCATGTGAAGGGCACATGGTTCTGACATTTCTTAGTGTGTGAGAAACCCTTCCCCACTCTCCAAGTCTTCTATCACTAACTAGAAGTCATGCAGACATCATCTCACAAGTGTCTTCTTGGCTGAGGTCTCAGTCACAAGAAACTAGCATTCTGTGGTCCCACAGACTTGAAAATCTTACCCAGCTTTGGTTTGCTTTGGAATCCTGGTAGTGAACTCTGGTGTCTAGGATGCATGGTTATTTGAAGTATGTGTGAAGGTTAAATGTTCTTTCAGGCTTTAAAGCAAATAAAATTTTTACCGTACCACTTGCCTAGATCCTTGGTAGTCATCACACCATGTTACATGCAGATCTCTATTAGGTTTTGGGATAGAAAAAGGCATTCTATACCAGTAGTTTTCAGTGTGGTTGAGGAGAGAGTTTGTAAATAAGCATTATAAACTGCCCCCCAATTTGTACTGCCATCCAATTCTTGGATTTTACCCTTTTAGAAGGTGAAATTTTAGGATGTCAGATAAACAGTTTTAATAAAACATCACTGAGTGGGTAGAGATAGAAATAATCATTTTAATGAAATCTGAGCCTTTAAAAAGAGTTGAATTTATGTATGTGTATAGGAGAAATGAGAAATGTTTGATAATTTCAAAGCATTTTATTTTCCCTAATAGATATTGTGCCTGTATATAACATAAAGGGCAATGAAGATACTTCAGGAGGTTGTAGGCTAGTCTGATCTTGTGAAATAAATTTTTCCCTATAGATTTGATCTTGCTGAAAGCCATACTTGGCTATCAAATGTTGGTGGCAATAAGCTTACATCAGGGTTCAGTTTCTATTAAGGGCTGCTGCTCTTTCTCAGACAGGAACAGTACAGAACACATCATGGGAAAATAATTCATAACCACTGTCCAAGTGAATATTTAAAAGTCCATTCCCTACGAGATGCTATTGTTCTGTAGGGGAATGGGGGGGGGGTTTGCTGCCAAGCCTGAGAATCTGAGTTTCAACCCCAAGACGTACACGGTAGGTCTCTGACCTTCACACACATTGCGGCATGGTGGCATATGCCTGAAATCCCAGCACTTGGGAGGCCGAGTTAGGACGATTACAGGGCATCCTCAGCTACACAGCAAGTTTGAAGGCAGCCTGGACTCCATGAGACCCTGCCTTTAAAAGAGAAAAAAAGTACATCTCTTCACTAAAACATCTTAAAATGTCAGTGGATAGTATAATTTTTTAGTAATAACTTCATAAACTCTTCAAGGGATTCTTAGTGTGTGATTACCACCAGGAGGTAATTCCTCTGAGTTTGTAAGGCATTTTTTGCTCAGGAAGAGGTAGATTTTTCTAGTTTCTAGTAGTTTAGTGTACCACTAAAGGAACTCATGCCTGTGTGGTAACCTAACACTAATAAAAAAATAGCAAGCATGGGTCATTTTATAAATTGTTCTAGAATTCAACAGGCTGATAACTTATTTAGTATGCATAATTATATGTATAAATTCTTGCAACATATAAGTCATTTCTTACAGCTTCCTGTGTTCCTAATGACTTAATAGCTTAGTATGTTCTGCAGTAAAACGGCTCTGACTGGGGTTTGGTTACATCTCTGGATTTCTCCTACCGTTTTTCAGAAGGATGGCAGTATTTTGTTCTTAGCGTACGTAAAGGTTGTCCATAAAAGGATCCACTTGAAAGGGGACTAGCCCAAGGAAGCTTGTGACTGTGCATTGTAATATAATAAAATGGAAATGAAGCATAATAATTTGTTCATCTTGAATTCTTCTAATCTTCTCGTGACAGTGACTGGTGGCTTCCCCCACCAACCCTAGGGCTTCATCTTTTTAACTGGTTTTGTGTTGTATCAATATTCTGTGAAATTCCCTTCTTGTGGGGAAAAAAAGCAATGATTGACGTTACTCTGTTAGTGCTCACGGGATGGTACTGAACTGGCTCTCTGAACTCTGGGAGCCTCTGGTGTCTGTCTGTCTTTCCACTCTTCCTTCTTTCTGTCATTCAGCCTGTGAGGAGCCCCTTCAGAGCTGCTGAATCTGAAGAATTCATTCAACAGTACCGACAGGGTGGGCGTGGCACACATGGAAATTGTCGGAAGGCCCCGTGATGGTAGCATGAAGGACATTTTAATTGAGACATCCTACATGTCTTCCAAAACAAGCTTCCAAAAAGCTGCAACCATGCATGAACCTAGATGTCCCAACGTCACAGGCGGCCACTCTTACTTCAGTCCATTTCTGAGACACTAGCTTTGGGTCTAATTTTTTTCTGTCATCAGTGGTTTCCTACCTAGCCAAGGACTCTAACAGTGTTTAGCCCTGAAGCCACTGTAACTGTCCCCTTTAGCTGGACAGTACTACATTGACATAGGTAAGAACTAGGAAAATAAAGCCACGAGGCAAGAAGTTTGAAGCATTGATGCTTAAAAAGCCAGCTTCTTGAGGTCATTTGGGAGCAAAGCCTTGAGCTTTCCCCCTTGGTATATAGCTAGAGCAGTTCCTTGTTAGAAATTCTGTTTGAGGTTCAAAACAAAACAGAAAACTGTACAAAGCTTGTGGTCCAAAAGCATGATTAAGTTGTGTTAGGAAGTGGTTTAACCTAAACAGAAATGAAACCTAGACATTAAGTGTTCAGCGGTGATCAATTACAGCCACCTAAGTCACAGAATCTCAGGGTCAATGCTTATGTTAAGAGCATCTCTGGAGAGGATGTGGAGTTGGGAACACTCCTCTACTGCTGGTGGGAGTGCAGTCTTGTACATGACATTCTGGAAATCAGTATGGTGGTTTCTCAGAAAATTGGGAATCAATCTACCTCAAGACCCAGGGATATCACTCCTGGGCATATACCCAAAGGATACTCAATCATACCACAAGGACACTTGCTCAACAATATTCATAGCAGCATTATTGGTAATAACTTGGAAACAACTAGATGCCCCTCAACTGAAGAATGGATAAAGAAAATGTACATTTACATAATGATGTATTACTCAACAGTAAAAAAGATATGAAATTTGCAGGCAAATGGATGGAACTAGAAAAAAGTCATCCCGAGTGAGGTAACCCAGACTCAGAAAACAAACACAATATATACTTGTGGTTAGAAGATATTAAAGTAAAGCTAAGGATAACCAGACTACAATCCACAGTTCCAAAGAATTGGGGGGGGGGAAGAGGAGTGGGAAAAAATATATAGCTTAATAAAAACAAAAAAAAAAAGTTAATAAAGAGCATCCCTGGGATGAATCTGAAGGAGGACATGAAAGACTCAGCCTGTGTGGTGTTCATAGAAGTTCAGTCAAAGCCACCAACAGGGTCTGCCTTTGACAGCCAACGTGAGGGACAAATAGAATTATGGACCTTTGGATTGAGGGAAGATACAGTAAAGAGCCAGACCAGCCAAGTGATGGTGTCATTGTGACAGTAATGGGGCCAAGCAAGGTCTCAGTCATTACAAGGAAGAGATGGAAAAGGTTCCTACTGAAGAGACCATAAACTGAGATAAGAATGGCATCATGATGGGGGAGGGTCATCTGTCTATTACTTTCATTGGTTAATAAAGAAACTGCCTTGGCCCTTTGACAGGACAGAAAATTAGGCGGAGTAAACAGAATGCTGGGGGGAAGAAGGCAATGAGGCAGATGCTATAGCTCTCCTCTCCAAGATGGACACAGGTTAAGATCCTTCCTGGTAAGCCACCACAGTATTAGAAATGGGTTAATCAAGATGTGAGAGTTAACCAGTAAGAGACTAGAGCTAATGGGCCAAGCAGTGTTTAAAAAAATACAAGAATACAGTTTCTGTGTAATTATTTTGGGTAAAGCTAGCCGGTGGCCAGGAGGCTCCATAGCTACACAGAAAAACCCTATCTCACCCACCCCCCGCCTACTAAAAAAATAAGCTATGCCCACTGTGTCCCTTTAAATAGTTGGAGTGGTAGAGGAAGAACTTGGGTCAGATAGTCACTGATAAGATGGCTCTTAAAGGTCTCCCAGGTTTCAGACGATGACTACTAGGTAGAGCTGATCTCCAGCCTTTCGTGTGGCTTGGGGTGACTCCCTTTTCTACATCCCTCAGTTTCCCTCTTTGTGAAAACAGTTGGCATGATTAAATCCAAATTATATAGTAACAGTTTGGGCAAATTTAGTAACCTACAATTTATAATAAAGGAGGTTTTTTTTAAAGGCATAAGAATAAAATAGTTTATTAAAGGAATAGTACGTACAAGACATCTTTCTCAAGTACTTCAAAACAATAGCAATACTAGATTGTAGTTTATTTCTTTGTATATAAAAGAAGTGCAGAAAGAAACATGCCTTATCGGTTTCTATTTTACTGGGTATGGCTGTAGGCGATGTCCTCTATAAAAACGAGCCACACAGGATCAGAATACAGGTGAGTTCACTCACATCGTCCATCTCTCAGACTACCAAGGTAACACTGACACCATTGCTCAGCTCTAAACATTCAGCAGAAGGATAGAGTTAAGAGTCTCAAGGGACAAAAGCAAACGTTTGTTTTCCTAGAACTACCCATTAATACACTTTGATAAGTTATATTCCCTCACCAAAATCAAGCCACTTGTTAAAGGAACCACCTACTTTACATTGTCTAAACGCATGAGGCTACAGTGTTTTTCAGTGTTTGCCACTTACAGTAAAGAAAAGAGGAACATCATGATTCTACATGGGCACCACACTGTGCAGTCCCCTCAGAAGCTCTAGAGCGCATGACCAGCACGGGGTACTGACGGAAAATCTACCTGTGCTGCCTATAAATTGAAAAAAAACGATGCTAAGCTGGACGCTAATTTCCCGTGAAGGTGAGTCTGCACAAAAGTGTTTTCTGCTCTGGAAATACATCCTGACATTAGCTGACTGTACATTATGACATTTTAATAACATACAAGATGGGTGAAGGCAGGGGTGTGATTTAACGGTAGAGCACTTGCCTAGCACACACAGGCTCCTGGGTCCCACCTCTGGCTCTGCAAAACAACACAAGGGGAAGCATCCAACTCATTCCATCGAATGGCCTGCGATACTTAAACATGGCGGCATTTTTACAAACATCGTGCCCAGATATCAGTGTTTTGATTGGCAGTTCGCACTATTTCATCAGAAAAGCTCATGTTGAAAACCAGTGCATCTATAGACCGGCCACTGTGCTCCACACCATGAAGGAGCACTGAGCAGATGAGACATTCATTGTCCTTACTCATCCCATGGCTATGCTTCTATTTGCTTTTGCCTGCCAGGTCCTCTGCTGCCGCCTTGATCTCATTTTATAACCAGCTAGAGTTGCTCCTAACCACAAGGGGTTCTTCAAAGGTCAGCTGATCATAGTGGCTACCACGGCAGTCTGATGTCAGAAGCATGGGGTGGAGAATCCATATTCCTCTCCTGCAGGACTTTGCTCATCTATTCAGAATGCTTTAACATACAGACCTGCTATTGATAGTATCTCACTGAGTGTAAATTCACTTAAGGTCCCTTTTCAAAGATATTTGGCAGAGAAAAAGAGAATGAAGCTCATGAGAACCCAGTAGAGGAGAGGGTCGGAAGACAAGGGTAAGGTGCCAGGGGCCAGCAGTTGGGACCTCACAAGTGAAAGGCTGTCACTGCCATTTGTCACCTGATGGCATACTGACTTTCTGTCTCGGCATACTATAAACTTCAGTCTCATGAATTCCGCTCTACCTTTTTGAGACATTTACCTCCCAGGAGATTGATTTCATGATAATTCAAGATTTCTAACTGCAGTATCTTCTAGCACAATTTAAAACAAAAGATCTCAATGACAGAACCCAAAGAACAAATTGTAAGTGAACCCCATCCTTGCCCCCAGCTGTTACAGTAGCTTCATTACAGATACATCCCATTGATGAGGTAGTCAGATTCCTCAGACGTAATGGGACGGGCTTTCTTAAGTTTCTGCTTTACCAGTCGGAGTCGGCAAGTCACCATGAGAAGTAGCAAAGCCGTGATGGCCAGACCCAATGCCAGGGGTAACACTGCACCTATGCAAAGTTTGGGGGGAGAAAGCTCTGGTCAGTGGTTGGCAACAGTGACAGCTACTGGTTACTCTATGATGAGCACCCGACATGCATTATTTTACCCCATCTGAACAACTCTAGTTGGTACTAGTATTATTGCTGCTTTTCTGACAAAGGTACAGAGGGGCTAACTCCCATGTCTACTTACGTATTGTAGGTCTAGTCTTAAACCCAGACCTCTTAAAAACCAATTCTCTACCAGGTTCCTACAAAAAAGCCCTGGCATCAGGTAAAAACTCCGCAGTGAGATCACCCTTATCTCCAACTATCCTAGAGATTGCAACCATGAGAAACGTTTTCATTAGAGTCACGTGACATTTGTGGATTCACACATGAGCAGCTTCTCATTAGTTGTAGCCTAACTCCCGATTTCTGGTTCTGGTAGGGCTTGAGAGATGGCTCCATGATTAAGTACCTATTGCTCTTCCAGAGTACTCAGCTTCAATCCCTAACACCCACAAAACAGCTTATAAACACCTGTAACTCTAGTTCCTAGGGATCTGATACCCTCTTCTGACCTCCACAGGCACCAGGCACTCATGCGGTACATGGACATACATACAGGCAAAACATCCATATACATTAAATTTTTTAAAATCCAGGGATCCTACTGTCTTCCAGTAGACAATTTATTAAAAACTAACATCAAATATGCTTGTATACTCAGCCCTAAAAACAAATGCATACAGGCAA